TTGAGATCAAAGAACAAACGTGTCGGCAAATCAGATCTTCAATAGAAATTAGTAAACTAGACGATCGTAAAATTGAAGATTTTTTCTCTCTCTCTCGGCACCATCAGTCAGTTTACTATTTTTGTGCCAAAGGTATGTAACCCATGTTAAAAATAATGAAAATAACCAGGAACTATAAAACATTATAAATATAGATTATTAAGACTAATAATAATAGGAAGCATTGTGCAGAGCATTATAAAAAGTCTCACATTGTAGAGCTGTATTACATCTGATATTATTATAACGGCTATTAATATTATTTCCCAACACTCAACAATCTGAGAACATTTTCTGAGCCCTGTCTCCAAATGTTTGGCTGTGCCTGACTCCGCAGCTGACTCGAATTCCTTGTTCACTGTCTGGTGATTCATTGCACTAAATACCATTTCCCTGATAATTAAAAACTGCTCACTGGCAAGTGGGAGCAGGAACAGGCTGATGCAGGATTTATGCAGAAACACAAAATGAGCCAAAAGACAAATGACCTGTTCTGCCTAGCTAAAGGCATTTTTTTTCTTTTTTTTTTTTTCTTCATCATCTTCTGGGACTTGGAAAAGGCTAGCTGTGATGAGGGAGACAGGTCTGGAGAGAGGCGTCATCCCGAGATGAGTGGATGCGGGGGAGCCATTAGTGCACGTGCTCCTCAATTTCAGGGAAAACAAGTCCGATTTCTTACGCCTGCACAGATGCAGGACATTTGAAACTGGCATTGCATCAGCACGCCGAGGCTCCGTGGCCCTCCCTGGCTTCTTGTGGAAGGCTTTGGCAGTGACCAAAGCCCCTGGCCCAGAGAAGCCATTGAGATATCATATGTGCACAAACACACACTCTCACATGCACATATGTGCACACACACACACTCCTTAATTCCACAAGCCGGCGAGGTAGCACGTCTGTGAATAAACTGCACAGTCATCAGAGCGTGAACTTTCTCCCACGTAGGTGTGCCTGCTTGCACGCCACTGGCCTAAATGAATCCTGGCACTGTCAAGAGATGGGCCTTTCTCTTCTGGGAATAGCTCCTTCCCAGAACTGATTGGGCCAATATCTGTGGAGCTCATTAACTCGGAATCCTTTCTCATTCATCCTTACGTATGTCTTCACTTGCAAACCATTCATTACAGCACATTCCAGATTGTTTAATTAGTTTCCATGGAAGAGGTCCTGTAGGGCAGCTTAGCATACATCGTTTAAAAGCTCTTGATCCAAAATAACAAGGTGGTTATTTTTAAAGTAACTAATATGACCTTAAGAGGCTTACATCCCCCACTGCCCACCCCTCTATCTTCCTCTTCCTAGCTCCCTAGACACTTCCTAGAACAACTTGCAGATAACAGTCATGAGCATATATCAGTCTGTGATCCCTCCTTGTGCATCAGGCACTGTGTTAGTGTGTCACTTGCAATATGGTCTTTAATATTGCAACTGTCCCTGGAGGAAGGTGTTCTCTCCTCCGTTGGCAGAAGAGAAAATCATTAGAAGAGATGTATGTGGTCTTGCTGCAGAATGCCAGGCTGCAAGGAGGCTTTGGGGTTCTGACCTCACCTCTGGATCCCAGCCTCTGGGCTCTCAACCTCCTCTCATCTCAGCCCAGAACTGGGAGAAAGTCACAGGTTGTTGGCACTGACCTGCTGCCCTGTTGAGTGGGTCTGCCGTGGCCTCATCTCTTGCCCTCAGCTGTGCATCGTACACTGGCTGACTTCCATCTGCCACATCTGCATTTCTTCACCTAAGCACACTCTCTCGCCTTCCAGCCTCCCTGCCCACCTGCACAGCCGGCCAAGCAGCTCCCAGCCAATGACTGATGGGAGTTGTTGGTAACACTATAGCTCCCTCCACCTGGGGTGGGCAACTCTGAAGCATGTGGCACCCGCACAGCTTTCAGAGCTTTGGAGGGGGCGGGGCTTAAGCCTGCATCAGTTACCTGTGTCAGTTACCCACAGTGTAAGTGCCATGAGAGCACACCTTTGATAGGCTGCCTTCTATTCCCCACCTTCCTTCCCCACTCACCTGCAAGTACTTCTTGGGACCACCTCCCAGATAAGCCACTTGCTTTCAAAACCTTGTCTCAAGTTGTTGAGACCCCAAAGACGACTGCCGGAGATGCTGGTCTGCATTGTTAGGCTTTCCATCTGTTCCAGTCCCTCCTGCTCTTCACTCGATCTCCACACCACATGAGAGAGATGAACCCCCATCTCTGTGTTCTTTCCCTTGTGCCCAATGAAATTAAAGTAAAATCTCCTCTTTCTCTCTTCATCCATTCATCCTCCAGGGATTAGAACATTCTCTTAAAAAGTTGAGGATGTGGTTTGTCCAAATTTCAATCAGCAGATTCCAGAGTCAACACGGTCAACTCCAAGTTTCCAACGAGCATTCTAGGATGATGCAGACCACCCTAAAGCAAGCTGCCTAGTACAGCACGAGTGATTTTATTTCATGACTGGGAATAACCCAACTTTCAGAAAAAGCAATTCCCCTGGGCAGGGCATTTGGCTCTCGTTGGCTTTAAAAACATACCCTCTTTAGTTCTTTACTGCATCTTCCTTCTCTCTCTGGATTGTATTCCGGACAGAACTGGTGACCAGGGCAATATTAATTTGGGGAAGCTGTAGAGTCATCAGAAGTTTTGGGGATGAACGATGTCAAAACTGGACCGACCATGTGCTCAGGGCCGGGAGACACTGAGAAGAAGCAACGGTGGGACGTGTGCACTGAGAGGGTGGAGCTCGGGGAATCTCAGGTCCAGCCTCAGCCTGGTCCCCAGCTGCAAGTACAGCGCTCGTGCTGTCTCAGACCCGCCTGCCCTGCTGACCCGCCTCTTCCACGAACCAGACAGCAACTGCGGGCAGAGAAAACGGCTACTCTCCCCAAGGAAGTGATGCTAGACTGTGCTGTTTAGCTTTCGAAGCCCACCTCCCACCACACTACTGCCAGGCAAACAATCTCCATACTTGCCTAACGACACATCCAACGTGGTGAAAAATGATACTGCGATGAATCCATTTATTTCTTGGGTTCCATTTCCTTCTTTTGTCCCCTCTCCACTTTTTGAATGCTTTTTTTTCCTGCAGTGACAATTCTCTATTTTGTCCTCATGCAGACCTATTTATCTTGCCCCTGTAAACATCAGTGACAAAGTCCATATTCCTTTATGTATTTCTCATTTACCATCTTATTCACTTCTCATACTTCAGTGTGTTTGAAGGCATGGGGGTTCAATAACCATTTTTCTTTCATCCCACCTCATTTTTTTTTCTGTAGACTTTCCTCTTTTATCTTTCTCAGTGTTTCTATACTCTTCCACGTTTCCTCTTCCGGTATCCTGGCTTGGCACTCCTATCTTGAGGTTTTTCTAATAGCAATTTCTTTTTTTTCTTTTTTTAAATCCATTCTCATCCTTCTTCCAGCCCTGGACACAGCCGTCAGTTATAACCTTAACGGTGGCCTCCACTCAGGAAAGTTGTCAAGTTGATAAATATTGATATCTACCCTACCATTTTACCACCACTTTTCTGCTAATGCATTTGGTTGGTATCAATCAGCTTCTTTGCCTTCTGTGAGTGCCCGGTGTGGGAACTGGTCCCGATCTGTCACTTATAAGTAATCTGCTCCACATTTCATCAAGAGCTCAAACACAGAAGGAAATATGGAGGAGAAGTAGAGGACAGAGAACCAAGCTAGTGTGGCCCAGAGGGAAGGGAGATGGAGTGGTCCAGCAAGGAAAAGAGAGGCAGCTTGATGTGCAGGAGAGACGTCCCCTCAAACCATACCCTTCTCCTGGGGACATCAGCCAGTGCTTAATGACCACCGTGTCCTCTTTGGGATATTAACCCTGCTTATCTCCTCCAATAAGGGTCCCCAGGGATGAAGATCTACATTGACCCCTTCACTTACGAGGACCCCAATGAAGCTGTCCGGGAGTTTGCCAAGGAGATTGATGTCTCTTTTGTGAAAATCGAAGAGGTCATCGGAGCAGGTATGGCTCTCCTCCCCACCCCACCCCATTTCTGTTCTTTTGGTGTCCAGACATCCTCTTCTCAGTGCTCTGGGTGTCCGCTGCCATCTTTCTTTCTCCCCAGAAGATGTGTCTAAACCACCTACGGTGTGTGTCTAGGGATGTCTTGGGGATCTTGTCCATGGTGTCCAAGCTTATTTTTTGTTGCAGAGAAGGCAGTGCTAATTTTAAAAGATTCAGAAATAGCTCTGAAAGTGGACCACCAAACACAGATAAGGAGAGAGACATAGGGCAATCAGTTGAGAAGATTTTGAAAGAAGTGCAAGTTTTTAGAAGCCACATCCAGTACTGCATTCACCGACACTGGTATCTCCATGGCTCTGGGCCAAGATTTCTTCCCACACTTTCAGTTCTCCTTCTGCAACGTGCATGGATTTGGAGACAGACCATGAGGAACTAAAGAAGAACCACTGTTTCTAGAAGAAAACCCATCCATAGCCGTAGTTCCTAAAAAAGATCTATGATACGGATGGTAACAGAAGACAAATTTCAGTCCCAAGAAATGTGTGCTCTCATCCGTTTTACTGCATTGGAATAGAAACCCAGCCCAGCAGAGAACTAACTGCCTGAGATGCTCTCAGGGAATTTTATCTCAAGACTGAGCTAGAATTTTCATCTTCCTTTAATGGATCACTAGTTGAGTCAGTTGGGCAATGGATCCAGCCTTATTCATGTAACTGAATAAAATATTCCCAAATACCGTTCCTTTGGAAGTAATCTCTTTACTGCCCCCTCTGCTGTCTTTTCTGAATCTTTTTTAAAAAATGTGTTTGCTTTGTGTCCTCTTTCTACTTTTGTTTCCTTTTACAACATTCTTTGTCTTTTCTTCTTCCAATCACAGTAGCCATTGTTCAAGATCCCTCACGCACATCTGTAGCTTTCTTTGTAGCTCCTGTGTCTGGAAGTGCTTTGTTCACATCGATATTTTGAGGGCCATGGGGTTGCCACTTCCAATAATATTTTTGCTCCATAAAATATGTTGAGTCCAAGTCTTACAGACAGCTACTCCATATATTATCTTTAGGGAGAAAGTCACCGTCCTTCCATTCACTGCCTCTCTTAATGCACTGAGAGGTCAAAAAGCCATCTGTGAAATTGGAAGTCACATTTGAAAGCTTGCCCCATGAAACCACTATTTTCATGCTCTGATTTCCCTCTTAAAGAGCTCCAACCTCATAGCATCAGCGTGGTGGGTACCGGGACTCTCCCTGCAGGGACACACCACTCTCTTGCTGCCAGCCCCTCCCGAGTCCCAGCCGGCTGACCGTAACCTGGTCCCCAGCAGTCTGTACAGATTTCCCACTGACTTTCATTACATATGTTACTGAATCACGACTTCCCCTTCTGGGCAGATAATCTTCTCTTCCCCCTTAGATGCTGACATACCTAAGGATCGTGCCTTGGAAGGCTGGATAGCAGATAAATCGGATTACTCGTAGGGGCTCAGGTTTCTCCAGTACAGTTGAAAGCGTGTTGGGGAAGAGCCCTTTCACTCCCGCACCCTGTTCCTCCGCATTGTTCATTGTTGTGTCATGTGGCCGTGGTGCTAGTGATTTTAATGTTGTTATTTATGTCATGAGCTTAGCGCAGCGTGTTCAGGACTGCATTTCATCCCAGAGAGCACACGTCAGCCCCCTTCCCGCCTTTGTCCGGGGAGAAGGAAAGAGCGTTCTCACTTTATGACCCGCCTGGGGAATTGCTACTTGCCGCGAGCTCACCCACTGCTGGCCGCCTGTAAAAGGGCAATCACGGCCCCGCTCCATGCTTCACCTTCCATCTTTGTGTCGCCTTTGCTGATGCTGCCATGTTTGCGCATTCTGCTTCGAGAAGGCTCGGTCCTCACCATGGCTCACCCTGTCCTGGGCAGGGATGATACATTTAGCCATTTATAAGGTGCCCAGCACCTTGGAATAAAGACTTCTGCCCAGTTGCTGCTAATCATCCTCTACCAGACACCCCTCTGCTCATGTTTCAGAAATTGCAAAGCTAATCCCTGTGGTTAATTCACTCTGCGTCCCTTGATGCAGTTTCAACAGGAGACACTCCGGGCTGGCATCCACCTGCCTTCACTCTCCAGTTCTTTTTCTCCTCCATCACTACTCCTGCTTGGCCCCAACCCTGCCTCACTGAGACTGACTTTACATTGCGCTGAAAGAGCTGATGTAAAGGCCAAATTTAAAAAAAAAAGAATTTTGTAAGGTGAAAGGTATACAGTGTAATTGGCAATATTTCCCTTCGCCACCTGGCAGATTGAGTGCAGGGGGCAGAATCTGGCTTGGATAATGGTGACACAACATGAGAAGAATTGGAAATCAGTTCTCCTTCCTTCATTCTGTTCCTTCCCTCCATCCCTCAACACAGTCTCATTGAATATTTTTTGCATGCTGGATGTGGAGTCCCAGAGGTGAGCAGACAGCCGCCCTGCTCTGAGGTCTGACAGTCTTAGAGAGAAACAGACCAGGCACGTGCTCACTGATTCACACAGCTCTGTGTACAAAGTTCGGGGCCAACACAGAGCAGCGTCCAGCTTCTCAGGGAGTGAGTCAGGGGATCAGGAAGACTTCACCAAGGAGATCACCTCTGGCCTGAGTGTTCAAGGATAGAAACTAGTAAAAAAGTCACTTTTTGTGAAACTCATGAGAGTGAGATGGAAGAGGGAAATTAAATGACTTAAGGAGGGAAATGAGCGTGACCTTCCAGCAGTCATGCGCTGCAGCCAGCTTGCTCTGTCTTGCGAGAGCCAACAGTGTGCCTCTGTTTCCAGCTCCGTGTTCAGTGACATCGTGTTTGTAGTTTGACATCAGCCATGGGAGGAGTCTTTATACCCTGAGAATCGGCAAATGCTACAAATCAGGGGTATTTGTTTCTCTGTTTTCTGGGGAGCCGGTTGTTGAATGCTTACCCGGACACCCAACGTGCAAGGTAAATTCAAAGAGGTTGCAGAGGAACTGGCCCGTTTCTGCTGAGCGTAGGCCCAGAGGAAAGGGCTGTGTTTGTGGCAGAATTCAAGAAGGTCCTCGTTCATGAAACACTGGTTCCCTGCCTGTGATGGTGGTGGACACTGGAAAACACTCAGTGCCTAACCATCCCGGCCCGACATGCCATGGCCTGGCACAGTCCCACTCTGCGAGACGAGGGGCGGGGACAGAGCTAAGACGAGGGGCCGGAGAACATGTGGCCCTGGAGGTGGGGGAAGGAAAGGCTTGGTGGCCAGAGAGGATACAGGGAAGCAGGTTTGGAGGGCCCCTGAGGACGTGGAGGCTTTGGATGGGCTGGTGCTCTGCGCAGCACATGAGAACAAAGAGGAGGCTGCTGGGGAGGCATTTCCTGAGCGTAAGTTTCAAGGATTAAGCCTGGAGAATCAGGCTGAGGTTTAGAGATCTGGGGGCTGCGGTTTGGATTTGATCCTACAGAAGTGCTGAGCGGGTAGGTTCTGAGCAAGGTGGGTGGTGGGAATGAGGTGGGGAGAAGGTGGTAGGTGCTGTGTTTAGACTGGACTGGAAGAGGTGATGGGGAAGGGTGGGCAAGAACTAGGAGGCAAGGAGACCAGTTGTGGGGCTTGGAAATGTGGAGAGAGTTTGAGATGGCCATTGCTGGGACCACGGGTGCTCAGGAAGGCTGCACTGCAGCAAGTCAACTGATCTAAATCAGAATGTATCCAAACACGGCAAATGGAGAGGCTGGTGGGCTTGGTGACTGGCATTGATGGAAAGGCACGGCAGAGGGCGCAAGGTAATTTCACATGCGAGACGAGAGAGAGGTGGTGAGTGCGCTGAAAGTGGCCTGGTGGAAGGAGGAAGGCCGATCCTTCCTCTTCCTGCAGGTGATGGGAATTACTGAAGTCGCTTGAGAGAGGGCGGCAGGCGATCAAGGTTGGTGCCTTTGGAGAATGTCAGCTGTTTGTAACCATGAATCTAATAGGAGTCCCCAGGAGTTGACCTATGGAGTTCTGATCCACTGGTTAATTCTGATTGGTTTGATCTGTAAACATGCCCAGAGCATAAACCAGGGCTGCTGGTATCATTGGGCCTTATGGCATGAATAGCACTACTGGGTTGTGCAGTGTGCAACCGATACAACTGTGTAGCAGCCCTGAGCATGACAAATGCACAAAACTATAGGTAGGGGTGTCACCAGAAGGTGTCATCCAAGGGGAGAGATGCCAACTGTATTTTAATTCGTAAACACATCCTCCCCTGACTCCAGCAGCTGCCGGTTCAGCATTTCCACAGATGGCTTGTCGTGAAGGAGAGGAGGCCTGCGGTGAGAGGGCTGAGTAAGGAGAGCTGGGGAAAGGGAATTCGTGCTGGATACGGAGGCAGGCGGGCCAGCGAGGCCCACCACTTGTGCCTTAGAAAAAGAGGAGGGGTTTCTTGGGGATGACTTGGTAGAAAGTCACCTGCCAGCCTGACTCTCCTGGGCTCATTCAGAGTGAGGATGGACAGCGTGAGGGTCGCCTCAGACTGGAGCAGAGTCGCAGCAGGAAGGGTTTCTAGAGCAGTAAATCAAATAGATGTCGTCAGTAATAATAATGAATATAGCTGGCACGGACTGAACCCTCACCGTGTACATACTTTACAAGCATAGTCTCATTAAACCCTCATAATAGCTCGGTTAGCCCTGGGAATTAGTGTGTGTGTGTGTGTGTGTGTGTGTGTGTGTGAGTGTATGTGAATGTGTAAACTGGTAAGGATTTAGAGGACAGCTTGCCACAGGCCCTGCTGCCAGTTGAGCTAATGGTAGAGCAAGAATTGAAACCCAGAGATGGTTGATCTTAGTCTGATGAATGTAACTGTCACTACCTGCCGTTTTCACTACTGTTCTGGAAAAAAGCAGCCATGCACACAGGGACATCGCTCCTGAGAGAGAACTCTGTCTAGCGGCTTGGACTCCCCAAGCGCCTTGGCTGAGAATGATGGTACTTTCTCCTAGACTTTCGGATGCCCATGTGATGGTACCACAAAGTTGTCCCCCATTCCCTGGGGAGGGCACAATCTTCCCAGAACACCCTTGTCCCGTCCTCTGGTCCAGTCCTCCTATTCTGGCTTGATCAGTTATTGCCTGAAGAAGGACGGTAATGAGGACCAAGATATTTAGCATTGCAAATCATCTGTGCCTGCTCTGTGAAGGAAATAATAAGTAACATCTAGGTATATGGTTGTCTAATGACCACAAAAAGCTGTGAGAAAAGAGAAAACTCATTTGCTCTTACCAGCTAGGGAGTAAGTATTGTGGGCACCATGGCTATTAATTAGATTCCATCTCATTTGCCAACGCTGGTAGCCTGATAGTGGGTACCTGGGGAACTCTGCTGAGAAGGAGAAATAGGATTGTGATCAATTAGTAATGTCTGTCCTGGGTGCAGGGTCAGGAGGTGGTGGAGCGCCGGCCATGGTCTTACTATCCCTGGATTAGCCACAACCTGTCTTGCATAGGCTGGTCTGGAAATCATACTGTAAAACTGAGTTTAAATTCATTCTTCCAAAGTTTCTTTTCTGGTGGAAGCTTGAATTAGTAACTAGAAGCTCCGCTTTCCTTTTCTCTCCCCTAAGGCAGTTTGTGACTTCAAAATGCTGCTAAAAAAAAAAAAGAGGCAATTGTGTGTAGATCCATGCTGCACATGGCCAACAGCTAGTGCTCGAAATACCTGCTGGCAGGTTGGATGTTTCATTTTCAAAAATTGAAAATTCTTCCCTTCTGATTTTATATATAATAGTTGAGGCATTTAATGCTGCTGAACTATTTTTTCCTCTCTTCCTCGATTTGTCAAGGAAGGTAGGGAAGAGCATCTGGCAAGGAGCTGAAACTTGTAGAGAATAATTTAGCAGCTGTCTGGGAGGGCAGTGACAGGAACTGGCTAAATGGCTCTCCGCTGACAGCCTCGAGGGCTGTGGTTCTCAAAATGGGGCATCAGAATCGCCCTCAGGCATGTTAAAACCCAAGTCACGGGGCTCTCCCTACCAAGTTTCTGATCCAGTAGGTTTAGGTGGGGCTTGAAAATCCGCATTTTCTAACAAGTTGCCAGGTGATGCCGCAGGCTTCACACTTTGAGAACCACAGCTGAGAGCCACTGACACTGAAGCTGGCCTGAAGCTGGTGAGGGGTCCTAGCCAAGAGGAGGTCCAGCTGTAGGCGAGGATCCAAGGTCAGCTGCAGACATGCTCCAATCCGAGTCCAGCCAGACCAAAATTAGGTTGCCTGAAATGACTGTCAGTCAAGGAGCTGCCTGAGAAGAATCAACCATAACCACTACCCAGTCATTTCCTATAAGTATCTATTTTAAATATAATGTTAATGCTTGATTTGTTGAAAACATTTTTCAGTTACTAATTTTTATGGAAAGGATAAAAAATGGATGGCCATGATTTGGAGCTTATGTAAAAGGAAGGTCTTTAGAGCTCAGATCATGGCAGGTCAAAGCACCGCAGACCTCAGATTCTAGCCCTCATTACAGGAAGGGTGTCCGAAAAGCAAAACTAGTTTTCTGAGCCGAGTATAAGGAACCCAAAGTCAGTCACAGGTGACAGCAGTCAGATGGTAAGTGACACAAGGCCTTGGTTTTCTGTTTGTTACTTGTTTGAGGCCCACTGACTCCCATTCCCTAGGAGCCTTTTGGGGTGCTGGAGGGCCAGAACCCCCAGACTTTTGTGTCTTGGACTTACCTGGAGACACCCTCCATGCCCAGGTACCGGCTGCAGGGCTTCCTACACCCCTGGCAAGGCGCCCTGCTGTGTCTCAGGTCAGTCCCACTGGGTTGCAGAAACCTGCTTTTCTCCCTTTTCTCTTCCAGTACCCACCCTCACTCCCCACCCCGCATCCTCACCCACACCCCAACTCCCCATCCCTACCTCCACCCCAACACCCCTACCCTCACCCCACTCCCCACCTCCAACCCCAATCCCCACCCCCACCCCACTCCTCATCCCCATTCTCCACTCCCCACCCCACACCCTTAGCCCCATCCCCACCCCCCCACCCCACTCCCTTAGCCCCATCCCCACCCCATACCCCACATCCCTAGCCCACTCCCACTCCCCACCCCATTTGCTCTTTTTAAGTCACTACCCACCCACGTGGAGTTTACCAGCCCATGGACCTCGCTCCCTGTTAGGAAGGCCCTAAAGTCCATCATTTCTTTTTGTCAAGCTGAGCTGAGGGAGCCGAGGCTGGAAGGAGGCACCCTGCCCGAAGTCAGGGGTGGGGCTGGAGTAGATGCCAGCTTCCTCCCGAGTTTCTTCTTGGCCAGACTTTGTCCGCACTGCACTGGGAGCCACTCAGTTAAGGGGTGGAGCAGAGCCTCCAAGTGAGGACAGTGGACCGAGAGACTGCCTCTGCAGTCAGTTTGAAAACCTCTGGGCTTGGAGAATAGGAAGCCATTTATTTGTCAGATACAGGAAAGGAGTGATTTTTACAGAATCACCATCCTTTAAGCCACTGCTTTCCAATGATTATGGAGCAGGTTTCTAAGAGCCACCACACTGCTCGATGGTAGCCATACAGAACCATCTCGGCCTACCCAGGGAGAGCACTTTTTAAAAAAGACTTGATTTTCTTAGAGCAGTTTTAGGTTCAGAACAAACCTGAGTGGAAGGTACAGAGATTTCCTATATCATCCTGCCCTCGCACACGCCTGGCCTCCTCCATGATCAACACCCCCCAGCAGAGTGGTCCATTGGTCACGATTGGTGAATCTCCACTGATTCATCATTAGCACCCAGGTCCACAGTTTAAGGTTCTCTCTTGATGCTGTACATTCTGTGGGTTCGGACCACTGTGTAATGACACGTGTCCACCATTATAGTTTTCCATAGCGTAATTTCACTGCCCTAAAATCCTCTTAGGAGAGCACGTTTTTATTTGATAATTTTTAAAACGGTTTGATGGCTATAGCATAGCTCTAAATTCTCTCCCTACAGAAGAGGTAATTTCAGGCCAAAGTCTTAAGAGCGCAACACCTAAAGACCAGTCAGCCACAAAGATTGAGCAATGACGTGGCATTTGTCAGTTAGGGAAGGAGGGCACGTGGCCCGCACGGTTCTGCATGCAAGGGACTGCACAGAGCCACACCAGCATTGGTTTCTTGCCTCTTTCTCTCCTTTCTCCCCTCTCACAGATACAGAGCCCACACTGTGTGTCAGACCCTGGGCAGCAAGAGGCAGCTTGTGTGTAAGCACTGCTTTTGAAAGAATTCAAAGGTATAGAGATGAATTCCAGTTACCTCAGGGCCTCTGGTGGGTCCCTGACCCCTGTGGAATATGCTTGGGTGGATTTTTGGACCCGCGGCTCGCAACGTCAGCTCAGAACCACCTGGTGACCAGGCTTCATGGGCCTGTGACCAGAGCAGCCACCCGGGGCCCGTGCTCGGGAGGGCCCACGCTTGGTTTAAGGCTCTGCCTTCACGGTCTTGAAATTCTTAATACATTTTGAATAAGAGGTCCTGCATTTTCATTTTGCACCAGGCCAGGGAGATTATGGAGCTGATCCTGCAGGCAGCTTTTAAAGATGTCTGGGTGCCCAGAATGCACCCACACTGACTCATTAGAATTCCCGGAGATGGGACCCAGGCCTCTGCACTTTGTAAGCTCCCCAGGGGATGGCAGTGGGCGGCCAACTTTGGGAACCGCTGGTATAGAACGGAAGTGCTCACCAGGGGTGTGTATGTGTGTGTTGTGGGAAATAGCAGGTTCACCTGGAACATTTTTACAAACTACACAGACTGATGTGGAGACAGGGACAACTATTCCGATTCCTATTCTGATCCCACCCGACTAGCCAAGCAGGAACTTTCGATGAAGATGACATTTGTCTATGAGAGAGTCCCACTGTGTTTGCTGTTCTCTGTTGGCTGAGTCGCTCTGACAGTGACCGCCTCTAAATGGTTAGGACCTGCACAGCTGGGGCACAGTGGTCCCCACATTATGACCTCACATCCACCACAGCACTGTTCCCTGTGATACTGCTAACTGGACATGCCTACTAGGTTGAGATGTCAGAAAGATGGATTCCAAATATCTATACACACACACATAGACACATACATGTACATATAGACACATACATGTACACACATATGAATATACACACACTAAGCACGCTATACACACATATATATACACACATATATGTACACACTTATGTATGGCAGGTCGCTGTTCCTCGGTACTTTTCTTGAAATTTTACTTATTTAAACTACAAAAGCAATGCTTATTGTAACAGTTTAAACAGCACAAAAGTAACTAAATTAAGTTTACTAATCTATTCCCCCAGTCCTTCTCCCCCCATGCTAGTGTAACCATTTTTAAAAATAATTTGAGATTGAAACTAAACTCGTTATGACATTTTTCCATAGTGGCTTTCGGCATACACACACACACACACACACACACACCTGTGAGGGCGTCTACCACAAGATCACATGGTATCACTTGCTCTTTTCTTCTTCACTTAGCAATGTAATGCGGGCATCTTTTGAAGTCAGTACATCTCACCCATCTATTAGTTCTTAGTAGCTCGTGGCATTTCTGCAGGATGGCTGTCCCATTTTCCAGCCATCCCCCTGGTTATGGTCATATGGTGTTTGGCTATGGAAGGAGATACTGCAATAGACAGTCTTCTGTAAAAATGTAAATACTGGTACTTCTGCGTCTTCTGGACAGAGCAGGGGTAGCGCCTCCAGCAGCTGATAACCCAGGAAGGGCAAAGCGAAAGCCACACAAGTCCCTGCAACTGTGACACCTCAGCTTGTGCTGCTGTGCCTGCCACGGACCAGGCATTGCAGGGGGGTGCAAGCCACGGATGTGAAGGAGACTTGGTCTGACTCAGTTGTGATCGCAGTGAAAACCCAGTGTCCCACACGCTGTGCAGCTCAGGTCCGTGCTGAAATCTTCCTGATGGTGCTTAAGCTCTACTCCAGCCCTAGGTTCTAGCAAGTTCCGCTGGCTCTGGAGCAGTTTTGCACACAAAGCCCTTTCATGCGGCTTCCTACCAGACCGCGCAGCAGAAAATACAGGAGACTTTCAACTGAATCACAGACGTTGGCTTGCTTTTCTAATGCGGCCAGGCATTTATCTGGTTGCTCACAGTTGGCCGCATCATTTTCTTCCAGAAGCTGAAAGTAGAAAAGAGAGTTTTCTCATGTTTCTCCTCTCAGGCCTTTGACATGTGTTTCTGTGACGCACTTCAAGGAGATGCTAAGCTGCTTCACATGAAAGAACTGAAGTTACAGAACCAAGTTACATCATAAAATAACTTTCAAAAGCACATTTAACGGGATTCGACAGATTTTTCTAAGCAGCTGTGAAATAGTGTCACCAGAATTGTTTTTACTCTTGGTGGTTTTACTGCAGAAGTGCTGAGATGCTGTGTGTAGCTCCCGTCTGCTTGGAAAATCCACTTGCTGTTGAGCCGCCAGGAGCCTTCAGCTGCAGCACCCTCGGGTCTGCCCCAACCTTCCTGCAGGGAGCAGCTCTTTCCAGCAACCCCAGTCAGTGGCTGAGCGCAGTGGGATGCTGGGGCCTGGGCCCTTCTGGAACGGGAGCTCCGTTCTGGAACTCCTCATTGCAGTCTGGGCTTCTCCTTGTTCACTCCTGCCTCTTCCTTCCTTTTCATGAGGTCAGGTCTGCATTGTGAGCTGGGACTCTGCCTAACCCTGAATCCTCTCCCCTATATCCTGCACAGGGTCTGCTAACTTCCCTCCCTAACTCCTCAGTGTCTGCTTTCTGAGGGACCCAGTTGACGCAAACAGTTTCAGGACAATGTAGGAACATAAACGCTAGACATCTCATTCAGAGGACTCAAGTACCTGCATGTGTCCCCTAGCCCCGGGACAGTCTTGCACCAGGCTCTGCTCAAAGTAAATTGCGATCCCGCCGCGGTGAAACTGACTGTTTCATTTCAACTGTTCAGCTGGGACACAAATGAAAAGCCAAACATGGTGAAAAACAAATTCGCAGACAGTTTGAAAATTCCACTTTAGTCGAAGCTTTCTAAGACCCGAGGTAAAGAGTGTACTTGGGTAGCCCTTCTGTGTTTGCCATGAACTGATTAAAGCCAAGACACCAGAGTTACAGGGAGAGGACACTACTTCGCTTCTGCCACCCTGATCGCCGTTCCACTTGGAGCATCATTGTTTTTTTTAAAATTTTTATTGAAATGGTATTAATTTACAATGTTAATTTAGGGTGTACAGCAAAGTGATTCAGTTATT